TCGTTTAATCGGAATTTTAACCGGATACGGATATTCCCTTTATTTTTTTTTAATTAATACGGATATTCTCATTTCTTTTAATTACAGCTATTATGGATATTTTCCTCTTTAAATTGGAAAATATGCTAATCAACTTTTTGGCTAAATATAACTTTTAGTATTTTTTTTAAAAATATTTTTTAGCCAGTCGTAGACATTATTAATATAACAACAAATGAAATATTCAATTCTGATCAATTCATTTTTATTTATTTTGCAATAGCTTCCAATAAAGGATGATTAATTACCAATACTTTCTCATTAATTACTTTAACAATAATTACCGTTACTTTCTCATTAGTTACTTTAACAATAGTTACCGTTACTTTCTCATTAGTTACTTCAACAATAGTTACTGTTACTTTCTCATACTTAATCAATGAAATATTAATTGATAAAAAATTTTATCAAATTTAGAACTTTAATTAAGTTTAAATAGCAATTTCTTCATTAATCATTTGAAAATTAATTGATAAAATTTTCTAATGAAATTGATAAAATTAATCAAAATTCTTTCAAAACTATTAAGTTTTAATAGTTAATAATTAAAAAGAAATGAATTTTTTCTAAACTATTAAGTTTTAATAATTAATTAATAAAAAGAACAAATAATTAATAAAAACAGTTAATAATTAATTAATAAAAAGAGGAAAAAAGAACCATTAAGTTTTATAATTAATTAATTAAAGCAACAAATAATTAATAAAAACAATTAACAATTAATTAATAAAAAGAGAAACTAAAATAAATTATTTTAATATATCTGTTTGGTTCAAAATGATAACCTTATGGGGAAAAAAAGAGATTAAAATAAAACAATGCAAATTTTACTTAAATTTGTCGAAAAAAATTTAAATTAAAAAATTATTTATTTCATCCTAAAACGGTAATAAAGAAAAATATAATATAATTGAAAAGTTTATCTTTTGTTTTTTCGCTCTTTTTGACAGATCAAAGAAATCGAAATGAAATAATATATTTTATTATAAATTATTATTTAATTACAAATAATACATTTAAAGAAATTATATTAAAAAAAAAATTTGCTTCTTTAAAAAACTCTAAATTTGAAAGAAAAATTATAAAAAAGTTTTTTGTCTTTGTTGAAGATCTTAAAAGTACAATATGGAATAGTTAAGCGAAGAAATAATATATTTTATTATAAATTATTATTTTATAAATTATAAATTATTATTTATTGATAAATGATACATTTTAATGAAACATGTATTTTTTTGAAAACTTTAAATTTGAAAGAAAAATTATAAAAAAGTTTTTTGTCTTTGTTGAAGATCTTATAAGTACAATATATGAATAAGCAGAATGGCATCCAACAAATTATTTTCAGAGCAAATTTTCAGACAAACATTTCCAAACATTCAATAGATTTTTGATTTAAAAAAAAATTTGTTAGAATTTAAAATATATTTTGTAAACAAATAAATATTTATTTCGTATTTTTATTTCCTCCTTTTTTCTGAAACATAATCAATCCTTACCGGAAATGATTTCATTAGCTAAAAAAGTTTTTTTTTTTTTTGAAATAATTTTGGATACAAATTGTTTGTTTATTCATATTATGAATAGAATTAAAAATTGAAATTAATGATTTAATCATTTTTGGTGTAAATTCGTTGCAGGATATCATTTAGCATTTTGCACGTAACAATGTGAATGCGAAGTGTTATTTTGGTTACCTAAAAAAAAAAAAGAATAAGAATATGAACAATTAAAGTATAAATAAAATACGAATTGCAGCCTTTTTTTTTTGGAAATGGATTTTAATAATTTTTTTAGGTAAAATTTTAAGTTACATTTTAGGTGGAATTTTAAATTGCATTTTGGGTAAAATTTTAAATTATATTTTAGGTTAAAATTTAAATTACATTTTGGGTAAAATTTTAAATTATATTTTAGGTTAAATTTTAAATTACATTTTAGGTAAAATTTTAAATTACATTTTAATTTCGAGTATGTTAGACATTTTGAACGAAAAATTTCGATTGCATTCACAATCTCAAATGAATTAATTTGCTAATCTAAAAACAATTATTTCAAAAACGAAAGAGTATTAATTGGAAACGAAATGTCGAAAAATTTTTTACTCAATTTTGATTATATAAAAATATGGTAAGTTTCAATCGTTGCTAAATTAATATTATAGTAATAATTTGCTAAAATGATCAAAGAAATATATTTGATTTAAAATTTTTATCATATCATTTTAATCTTATCATTTCCTTTTTCGAATCAATGATTTAACAATGAATTATAATTACATTTAATTAAAAGGATTGAATTTTTGATTTGTTCATTTAATAATAAAAATTTTATAATAAAATCATTTATAAAATCAATGTTTCTTTTGAATGATTTTATTTTTTTTATTCCATTACTAATTATCGATTTAAATTATCGACAGTATTTTATATTAAAAATAAAACTAATCAATCAATCAATCAACGAATTGTTTTTGTAACCTTCGATCTTATTTATAATTAATGCTACCATATTATTTGAGCAATTACTAATTAGCCATCACATTGTTTGTGTAATCATTAATTAGTTGGTTTTTGCAATCCTAATTTATATTGACGGTTGATAATTTTGTAATCAAACCATTTCATATATGAATCACAAAAATTTCGATTCTATTATAACAAATATGATCGCTATTATTTTAATTGTTAAATAATATAGCAGAAGAAAAGAAAAAAACATTTTTACAACACTTTCCACCTTTAATTAAAACCTTTTATTAAAATAGTTAAATGTAATTTTGGCTCACATTTTAGTTGAATCAAATTTTTTTCATTTCATTTTTTTTGTTAATTAATATTTTTATCAATTCGGATTGTTTTTCTTTAAATCATGGAATTAAACAAAATTTAATCTTTAATATGTTAATATAATTTATTTTAATTAGTTTCTTTGTTTTATTTTCATAATTTTACATAGAAAAAAAAAAGAACATATCATTGCACCAATATAATATGAATTATATTTTCCCTTTTTACTTCATTAATTTATTTCTTGTTTTTTACGTCATTTCACGTGAATGCGTCAACGTGAATGCATCAACGTGAATACATCAACGTGAATCAAATGATGAATATTACACTAATATGCTAATAATATGGCATTACTTTTCATTTTATCTTCTTTTTCATATGAATATATATGGGCAGTCAACTTGAAAGAATTTTTTAAAACATAGTACTATGACACATTGTCATGGTACTATATTTAAATGAAGTACCATATTTTGTCATAGTACCATTTAAATATGATACTACCGAAATGATATGCTTATCAATAATCATTGATATTCTTCTTTTTCAGTCATATTTTTCTTACTTTTCAAAAATTTTACATAAATACGAAGAAGCAGTCAATAGCTTATGTTAATAATATACCTTTTGTTTTTGTTTTCTTCTCTGCTAACATCGCAGTAAATTTCTTTCAAAATTTGTAACGTAGAAATGATTTTATAATTTTGAACTAATTTATGATCAATAGTAATATGCATGAAATTATTTGGAAAAGTAAAAAATTCAAATACTATAGTTATCGTAGTTATCAAAAGTTACCGTAGTTATCAGGAGAAGAAAAGGGAATGATAACATCGGGGAATTGATTCTTCGATTAAGAATAGAAATCAAATTTCAAATATGAAAAGTAAAAATGAAGAAAAATAATCATGAAAATAAAATGATATATCAATGATCAACAAGGATTATGACAGTTATCCATCGTTATTCGTTATATCGTATTTTATCAAATATTTATTGAACTTATCGTATATTTTATTAAATTTGAACTTTGATTTCTTTTTTGTCCAACAATTTCTACATTTCCTTCACCTATTATTGGTTATAATATTTGTTTTGGAAATTAAATTTAATTAAGTAACACTAATAATTACCTTTCGTTTATCATTGATAAAAGTTATAATTGTGAAAAGCAAAAAGCTAAATGAAGCATTGAAATTTCTTTAAAAATATTTAGCTGTAAAAATTTTTTTAATTCTTACTATGAAATTAATTAATTAAATAAGATATGATAATAAATTATGAAATAAAATTTGATAATAAAAGATAAAAAATATAATAATTCTAAAATTATTTCAATCCATATATAATAAATATCAATCCGTACATTATAAATATCAATCCATATATAATAAATATCGTATAATTTATATTTTTAAAGAATGCTACTGATAATTTTTATCATTTAATCATACGTATTTGAATTTTTTGCTTTTTCAAAATTTCTATTACTTTTTATTTTTTAAGAAAGAATGAGAAAATAAAGAAAGAAAATGAAACTTCTTTCGCAGACCATTCTTGTTTGTAATATTCAAAAAATAATCACTTTCATTGGTAACTTTAATTTCTGCTCCAATACTGTGAAATGAATCAGTTGTAATAAGCCATTGACAACTGAAAAAGAAATTTACATTTTCAATAATAATAATAATAATAATAATAATAATAATAATAATAATAATAATAATAATAATAATAAAGAGAAAATTTCAAATTTAATTTTTAAAAAAAAAGAATAAATTATTAAATTCAATTTAGAAATGAATTGATAAATAATGATTATTAATTACCAATCCGAAAATATCGATGACTGTCATCTATCAAAAATCAATTCTTCTAATTAATTTCGATTAAATAGCTATCATTCAATCTTACAATATATTTTTATTTTGTGAAAATGAAATGATAGCTACATTAATAGAATTAATTAATTAGTTAAATAATGGAATTTACTAATATTCAGCATCATAATTATGCAATACATTTTGCTACTTGTTCAAAAGAAAATCGGAAATTAAATTTATCTCATTCGTACCAGCTAAATTAATCAGTAAGACAAAAATATAAATTAAACAAAAACAATAGAACATTGAAATTTAAAAGAAAAAAGCAACGAACAAAATTTTCAACTTACTGAAATGTAGAAATATCATTGTTAATATAGAAATCCAAAGGATAAGGTAATTGTCGTTCGTTTTTCTTTTCTTCCGACGCCAAATAACTTTCTTCTTGATGCATGTAATCCGTATTATCAGAGATGAATGTAGCCGGATAATTGATTACATATTCCGGATGCTTGTAATCCAATACTATATGTTGTTTGCCACATAGATCCGTTATTGTTTGAGAATTCATTGATTTGGTTAATGATGGTAATGGTGATGATGTTGATGTTGTTGTTGGTAGTAGTAGTGGTGATAGTGATAACGATAATGATGATGAAGAAACGAAAGAAAATATGGGCAACAGCGAATGTAATAAAGTGATAATATTCAAATTATTTATCGTAATTAAGAAATGAATAATAACAGTCTTAATTTTTTCAGGAAATAAAAATTTAAACATCAATTTAATTAATTTATTAAAATAGCAATAATAGTAATAGGAATAATTTCTTCTTTTTTATTAGAAATCAAAATCAAATAATTTAATTTCTAATAATTTCTATTTCTTAGCAGTCAATTAAAAAAGCGAATATTTTGCAGTAATTAAGAATTTAAGCAAATAATTAAAAATTCCTTTTGTTTTAATAAAATAAAATTCAATATTTACACCATTAAAATATTCGTTTTCTTTGCAACAATTTCTTTATTTCTTTCTCTTCAAAAAAAAAAATCACATCGCTTCTGCGATTCTGAAAATAAAACGATTCTAAAATACAATATCATATATCAATGAAATTAAGATAAAGAAATAAAAATACATTTAGCTATTTGTTGTTTCAATAATAATTACTAATTTTTGTAATAAACGAATTTATTGAAATGAATTTTAGGATTAAGGCGAGAAAGAGAGGACGTTGCAATAGCACGTATATCAATGAAATTAAGAAAAAGAAATGAAAATTTAGCAATACATTTAGCTATTTGTTATTGCAATAATAATTATTAATTTTTGTAATAAATGAATTTATTGAAATGAATTTTAGGATAAGAGAGTGAAAGAGAGGATGACGTTGCAAGAGTAATTGCTAATTTTTGTGATAAATGAATTCATTGAAATGAATTTTAGGATAAGAAAAGGAGCGAGAGAGAGAGAGAAAGAATGACTATATGTTGGAGGTTGAAAACATCTGCTAAGAAATATTTTCTTTTAAAAAAAAAAACTAAAGTTATTATTTTGCAATTGTAATGAAATATTTTGTATATTAGCATATACTAGATTAGTTTCATAAAAGGAATAGCAATAAGAATAGAACGAACATATTGAAGCTATGAGAAGAATGTAATTTAAAATAAAATTTCCTCAAATGTTAATTGTCGAAAATTGTTGGATAAGCAGATGGAAACGATTGAATGACCATTTTAAAATTTTAGAAGAGAAGGAAAAACGATGAAAGAGATTGAATGACCATTTTATGATTCATAAAAGGAATGATTTTCTTCTTTCGAAAAATAAATGGCAAAAAGAAGAAAAGCGAATTAATCATTATCAATCATTTAAATTTAAGTACAAATTTAAATCATTTCAAAATATCAAATGAAGCAATTTATAATTTGTAAAATGAAAAATTGAAAATAGAATGAGAAAAAACAAAATGTAAAATTTGTTCATTAATTAATTAGAAAATAAGAAATAATATGAAAATTAAAAGGAAATCGATTTTTTGGATAAAAAAAACAAATGATGAAATTGTTGATGATAACTTTTAATATTTACTGTATGTATAGAATTTTATAATTTATATTCTAATATAAAATATGGATAGCGAATAAATATGTATGATTATAAAGTTGAATTGATGAAGCTGAATGAAGGAAGCACTACCTAGTTAATCAATTATTTCAATTATTTTGCTATTCATATGGCGGAAATATATACATATAATAATGCAATTATTCCGTTATAGAGAATAACCGAATAATTGGATTATTGTAATTAACAATTTTTATTATACTTAATAGAAATGAAAGATAAATTGGAAAATGAAAAAAACTCAAATACTTAAAAATTATGAGAGATAGAAATAAATTTTTAATTTAATTTAATTTAATTAATTAAATTAAATTAAATTTAATAGAATGAAATTATTGCTAGAAGAAATGAAATAAAAATATACGATATTATATTATTAATACTTCCTTTTATCTACCATATCTTTTCATTTTAATTCTCAAAAAAAGAGCAAAATAAAATTTCAGAAAATAATACACAAAATTTTTGTTTTGAATTAATTATTTTATATTTAAATGATAATGATAATTTTAAAATAATATTTCAATTCTATTTTATCATTTAAAATCTTTCTTTCTTATCATTTCCTTTTTTTCATTTCCAATTTTTAACTGAATAACTGATTTACAGGAATTGATTAGAAGAATTATATTTTAATTAAAAGACATTTCATCATTTAAATTAATTCTTCTTATCATTTCCTTTTTTTCATTTCCAATTTCTGACTGAAAAACTGATTTACAGGAATTGATTAGAAGAAATATATTTTAATTAAAAAAAGCATTAAAGCAAGTATATTTTTCAACAGTCAAATTTAATCAGATAAATTGAAAGATTAATGATATCATCAAATCTCTTTTATCTCTTAAATAAAAATCATTAGAAAATTACTTGAAACATTGAAAGTGTGAATAAGTTAAAATTATATATATATGATATTTCAAAAATAATTTATATAATATAAATTATATGTGAATAAAATAGGTCAATAAGAAATTGTTGGAAAAAAGAATTTTTTAAAACTGGAATAATTAATATTAAAAAAATCAAATAAAATTTATTGATATATTATCAATAAACAGATTAGTCAGATCAATAAACAGGTTAATTGATAAAAGATTAATTACCTAAATTTTTTATGATCAATTATGTATTATTGATAATATTATCAATTTTTATCAGCAATTTTATTTTTGCTAAAATTATCCTTCTCATTACTGTTGTATATCAGTCTAACTATATATTTATTTTGTCGTTTAAATTTTAAATGAAAGAGAAGAAGGAAAAACTGTGAGGCTAACTAAGCTTAGTAATACTAAAAGAATGTTTGATTAAACAATTTATTAAATAATATTCAATTAGGTAAATAAATAATTAAATAATTTTTAATCTAATAATACTAAAAGAATGTTTGACTAAATAGTTTTTTAAATAATTTTAAATTAAATAGTTAAATGATTAAATGTTAATTAAATAAAAGAATGTTTGATAACATAATTTATGGTGAAAAAATTGGTGAATTGAAAAAGTATAATTAAAAAAATATCAAAAATTTTAAATGAATAATTGATTATATGTGAAAAATATTTGCAAACTATATATATATATATATGATAAAATATTTCAAAAGATAACAAAAGGATTGTTGTAAGTTTAAAATATTATGATAATGATTATCATAATGTTGTAAATTTAAGATATTATGATAATGATTATCACAGTGTTGTAAGTTTAAGATGTTATGATAATGACTATCATAATGTTGTAAGTTTAAGATATTATGATAATGATTATCATAATGTTGTAAATTTAAGATATTATGATAATGATTATCACAGTGTTGTAAGTTTAAGATGTTATGATAATGACTATCATAATGTTGTAAGTTTAGGATATTATGATAATGATTATCATGATGTTATAAGTTTAAGATATTATGATAATGATTATCATAAAATAAAAATATGAAGAGGAGAGAAAGAAAAAAAGAAATAGCGAAAAATAAAACTAATCTTAGTTCTTCTTTTTTCGTAATTTTAAATTAACATATTAATTTTATTACTTAATATTAAATTAATATTATTACTTAATTATACTTTACTTTGTTTTGCATTTTAATTCATTTTAATCTAATCAAATTTAATTATTGTTTTTTTATTATTTCATTTAGCAATAATTTATCATTAATTTTTAACATTTATAAAATATAAAGAATCATTTGAATTTCTACCAAATGCTTAATTTTCAATCAATAATTCATATATAAATTGTTAGATATAAGAAAAACAATTCAATAATTTATACAAAAATCGTTAGATATCAAAAGAACTAATCAATAATTTATATATAAATTATTAGATAAAAAATTAATCAATAATTTATATATAAATTATTAGATAAAAAACTTATCAATAATTTATATAAATTGTAGGATTAAAGAGTTAATCAATAATTTATATATAAATCACTAGATATTGAAAAAAAACTAATCAATAATTTATATACAAATTGTTAGATATAAAAAAGTAATCAATAATTTATGTATAAATTATAAGATATAAAAAAAAAACTAATCAATAATTCATATATAAATTGTTAGATGCAAAAAAAAAACCAATCAATAATTCATATATTAATTGTTAGATATAAAAAAACTAATCAATAATTTATATCTAAATTGATATGTAAGAAATAATTAATAATTCACATATTTATATATATAGCATTTGTGCTTTTTTTTTTTCCTCAATTTCAATTTTATTATTTCTTTTTTAAAAAACTATTTCCATTGGCTTGCAAAATTAATGAACTAAATTACTTCAATTTATCTAAGCGACAAAACTTCTTTTCTCTTTCAAAAATCTTTCATTAATGCAAGAAAAAGGAATAAATCGCCGCTGAAATATTTTTATCATTTCTGGTTTTTTGCATATAATATAATTTATTATATCATATAAATTATAATTTTTAATTTTTAAAAAATAAATTTAATAAAATTTTGCAAAAGAAAAAATTCAATTTAGTTTTGCCAATGCCAAATAGAATTTCACTATGAAATTTCGCAAAAAATATGGCATATAAATTTGGTGGATAAAATTATTTTTGGAAAAATTTAGGGAAAGCTATGAAATTGTTAAGTTTAAAAAAAATATTTATATAAAATGTTATTCAAAAAAAAAAAAAATTTCATTATTCATTAATTTCAAATTACCATAATTAATTTCAAATTTTATAAAAAGACTAAAATTTGTTTTACATATTTTTGTATAACAATTTCAAATAAAAATTATGGTACCATAATTAACATTTCATACTAATTTTAAATAAAAATTATGGTAACATTTCGTATTAACTTCAAATAAAAATTATGGTAACATAATCATATTAATTTCAAATAAAAATTATGGTAACATAATCATATTAATTTCAAATAAAAATTATGGTAACATAATCATATTAACTTCAAATAAAAATTATGGTAACATAATCATATTAACTTCAAATAAAAATTATGGTAACATAATCATATTAATTTCAAATAAAAATTATGGTAACATAATCATATTAATTTCAAATAAAAATTATGGTAACATAATCATATTAATTTCAAATAAAAATTATGGTAACATTTCATAACAATTTCAAATGCAAAATTATGAAAAATTTTTTTC